GAGTTTCTCAGGGGCTTTAGCTCAGAATAATCATTCCTTCAACATGCCAGATTAGAAGGACAAATCCCTTCAGGAGCTGCTGTGGAAAAGAGCACAAACACACACACTGGCCACAGTCCGTAAACAGCACTATTAACCTGAGCTAGAAGGCCAACTTCAGCTATTACGGAGTGTATTTGTCTAAAATAGTTTATTTTCATGAGGGAGCGAGTGTTTGGTTCGCCTGTGTCTCGCTCTACAGATGACAGCATAACAGGTGGAGAATCAAACCGCAGAGTTCGCTCAGACACCAGCTGGAATATCAGTCTGCTCATGTTAAACTCTCAGATGAGAAATCCGAGCCACTTTCAGTATTTAACAACTCAACAATCTCAAAGTCAGGTGTCATTATAGTTTATTCGACACTTAACTCCTGTTTTTACATACTGTAAATAAGGCCAAAGGAAAAAAATAATACTTACACACATTTTAAAAACTTAAACTTCAAAAGCACCGATGAATATTGAAATTCTGTTGTGATTGAAATAAGATTTTATTGTCAGTTTATATGAGTGCCTGAGTTTATATATGAGTTTACTGTGATGATATAGGATTAGATTCTCTTTAGTTGTCCAGTGATTAACTGTTACCTGTCACATTTGTTGAGCATTTCACTATTAAAAATTCTGGTATTTTAAAATATATTAATGTTTTTGCATTATATACTGTGTAAAAGATAATCTTTTTTTGCATGTGTGTTTCAGGCTGCTGAACGAGTCGGATAAGAGGCCATTTATCGAGGAAGCTGAGCGTTTGAGGAAGCAGCATAAGAAAGATTATCCCGAGTACAAGTACCAGCCACGTAGACGCAAGAACGGCAAACCGGGATCCAACTCTGAGGGTGACGCCCACTCTGAGGGCGAGGTCAGTCACAGCCAATCGCATTACAAAAGTCTGCATCTGGATGTGGTACATGCAGGATCACCATTGGGCGACGGACACCACCCTCACACTACAGGTGAGTTACTGCTGTTAAGACATCTGGGGTCACTTTTATTAATCAAGGACGCATTCAATTGATCAAAGGTGACAGTAAAGACATTTATAGGGTTAGAAAAGTATTTTTGATTCAATAAATGCAGCCTCGGTGAGCAAAATACAACAAAAATCTTACCGACCCCAAACTTCTTCCTCTAAAATGCATCCGTTTGTTCCTTCAGGTCAGAGTCACAGCCCTCCGACGCCCCCTACCACTCCTAAGACAGAATTGCAGGGCGGTAAATCCGGTGAGGGGAAGCGTGAGGGCGGAGCCTCCAGGAGCGGTTTGGGGGTGGGAGTAGACGGAAGCTCCGCCTCCTCATCTGCCAGCGGAAAACCGCACATCGATTTCGGAAACGTGGACATTGGCGAGATCAGCCATGATGTGATGGCCAACATGGAGCCGTTCGACGTGAACGAGTTCGACCAGTACCTGCCGCCCAACGGGCACCCGCAGTCATCGAGTGGCACAAGCGCTGGGTCTTCGGCTTCGCCGTACACTTACGGCATCTCCAGTGCGTTGGCAGCCGCTAGCGGTCACTCCACCGCCTGGCTTTCCAAGCAGCAGCTGCCATCCCAGCAGCACTTGGGATCGGATGGCGGGAAGACGCAGATTAAGAGCGAGACGCATTTCTCCAGTGACGCAGCGAGCGGGTCGCACGTCACATACCTGCCACACTACAGCGCCGCTTTCCCCTCGCTGGCGTCCCGTGCGCAGTTCGCCGAATACGCTGAGCACCAGGCGTCCGGCTCGTACTACGCCCACTCTAGCCAGACTTCTGGCCTTTACTCCGCCTTCTCCTACATGGGCCCTTCGCAGAGGCCCCTGTACACCACCATTCCAGATCCCGGCTCTGTGCCGCAGTCGCACAGCCCAACACACTGGGAGCAGCCTGTATACACCACCTTATCTCGACCGTGACGCGACGTTCTGGTTTGGTATCCAGTCGATGAAGGGTCCAACAAAAGTGTGACTGAAAATCATGACAAACGCTCACCTGCACCACAATCTACACAGACAGGAACCTGAGAGAAACTTGTGTGTGTGTGGAGATCTGCAGGGAACATATTCTCACGTGCCTCAGGCTGATAAAACCTTCACAACCCGTAACAGATTCACTCAACGCTAGATGAAGTAAAGGAGGCAGACATTTGACACCAGTGGTCCTTCATGAGACAGATTACCAAAGTTCTGAGACCAAAACATTAAAAAAATCCAACAAAAATAGGTGCAGTTTCTGAACTCTTGAGTGGCATAACACTCAAACAGTGTTGCCAATTTAGCTACTTTGTAGCTAGATTTAGCGACTTCCCCGCCCCTTTTGAGACTTTTTTCAAAAGTTTAGGGACAAATATAGCAACTTCTTGGACAAACCTTATCTAAGTTCTCATCTTGCCCACTGATCTACATTCATCTTTATATAGATCAGTGAATTTGCCATTGTGATGCCATCTAGTGACATTTAGCTACCAGTTTTAGCTACTTTCAATTGAAAGCAGTTGTCAAACCAAACATCATTACGGAAGTCGACCCGCTCAAACACTAGATCACTCAAACTTCACTCAGATACACATACACACAAACAAACTTACAACTGATGCTATTATCTGTAAATCCATGTTTAGTTTTTTTGTATGAATGAATAATCTCTTTTTATTAACCAAAATAAGGCCATGTTGTTTTTATCAACAAATAATGACGTGTTTTCGTTGTTGTAATCTTTTCTATTGTTGTTACTCTTGTTATTTGTGTTGCCATAACTACACTGAAAAGTCTTCACCACTGTCTAGTGTTTGTTAATGACATTAGTGTTTTATGACTTTCAGCGGGTGTAAACATCAGTGCCAGGACGCGGTAATTACACGTCTTTACCTGTTACCCCAAACACATGCAATGCTTCCGTCACATCGTAATTAGCCGTTTCCGGTTAATAAATGACATTTTTCAGCTGCAAGTGCCTCAGTCCATCGGCAACGGTTTGTTGTAAATCACGTGAATCTATTTTTCAGGGCGCAAACTTTTATCAGCCGATAGCCGATATGCATATTTAAATGCCCACGTGACAATGTAAAAGGCTACACGAATTCGAAAGAGCGCGCCATTTGGAATTGTATTGAAATAATGTCCGTTTCAGAACATTGCCAGGCTTGACGTTCAAGATTTTTTATTATTATTTTGAAACACCTTTTTTTAATGAGAAATAAAACATTGCGGTTAATAAAAACATGTATTTTTGCAGTCTGTTACTGTAAACGATGTTTCCCAGATAGCACACGTACGTCTGCAAGATATCTGTTAAAGATCTGGAAAGCATCTGCTGTGTACAAACATCTGATAGACGTCTCTAAGATGTCAACATTCATTCTGAATCATATGTATCATTTGTCATCTGATAGGAAACGTCCTATAGACGTCTTGGAGATGTAAATGACATCTCTGTGATGTAGCTAAGTGTGCTATCAGGGTTAGTTATTAGATGTTTTCTTCCCTTTGGTAGCCTACTTTTATAGTTTTTGCCCTCTTCATTAGTATTATTCAGAAACGGCAAACAAACAGCATTCTTGTTATATATTACATAATATTATTTATATTTGTTGTTTTTGTTCGTTTTTTATCAGTAGCGTTTTATTCTGATGTTGGAAACTTTGTGTAATTTTGTGGTGGGTAAAAGTGTTGTTGTTTTTCTTTATCAGTGTAAATAGAAGAGAGCAGTGACTAACTTCCCTCACTTTAAATAAAGCTGCAGTCTGTACAAACGCCTCCTTGTCTTCATACACACACTTACCTGAATGTTCATTTTTTCCGTATCTTCTCCACCTGTAAGACCATGACAAACCACGTCACTCTTAAGTGCCACATATTTGATGCTCAGTGAATTAGTTACTGTTTAGATTAGCACACTACAACAGTAGGCTATTATTTATTACTATTACAATGATTAAGTGAAAGTGACGTGACATGTGGCCAAGTATGGTGACCCATACTCGGAATTAGTGCTCTGCATTTACCCATCCAAAGTGCACACACACAGCAGTGAACACACACACCGTGAACACACACCCGGAGCAGTGGGCAGCCATTTATGCTGCGGCGCCCGGGGAGCAGTTGGGGGTTCGGTGCCTTGCTCAAGGGCACCTCAGTCGTGGTATTGAAGGTGGGAGAGAGCGCTGTACATTCACTCCCCCCACCTACAATCCCTGCCGGTACGAGACTCGAACCCGCAACCTTTGGGTTACGAGTCCGACTCTCTAACCATTAGGCCACGACTTCCCCCCAATATATATATATAGTGTATTTATTACCTATAATATAGTTATTACCCATGCATTTCAGCAGAATACAGTGGCCTATGTATACTTAGAATAAATTGCTTTTCTGCATTTAAGACATATGCCGAACTGAATGCTGTATGCAATATGCTTGACATGATCTATTTCCATAACATGCAACGCAGTCATGTGACAGCAATGTAGTTTAGACTAAGTACGTGTACATGCATTATGCTAGTATTCCATTCTGAACAAATGCAATGTTTTTATGAGCTTGTAAGTTCATTCTGATTGGCTGAAACAAATATCATGACAGTGCACATCTCAACAGCCTCTGCATTTCTGCATTAACACTGTGTGTGTGAATGCTGCCCTGCTTATCTGCATGTGTGTGTGTGTGCTGAGAGTTGAGGCTGATTTCTAATTCCCCTGATTTAATCATCTGTGTCAGAGAGAGACAGTGCAGTTAGATGAGTGCAAACCAGAATCTAAAAACATGTTTAATGTTCTGCTTTTGTATCATCATACGACTGCGACTCCATGAGGCACGAGGACAAAATTAATTTCCCATAAGCCACTGCGAATGTGTGCTCAGAAGCGAATCTGAGCGTACTATTTACTGAATACTGCATGTATATTGGATTATTTTGCTATTTATTTATTATTACATTTTTTTTTTTTATATATATATATATACATATTTTTATTATTGTGTGAGAGTGTGTGTGTGTGATTGTGAGAGTGTGATTCTCAGTCAGTAATGATGAGCTCGTCACAGCCCCAGTCCTCATAACTCCCATCCGGCAGATACCGACGAATGATGATGGGGATCTTCCTGCTCCTGATCAACACACACACACAACATTAAAACACACCACACACACAAAAATACAAATCCTGAGACTGTGTCAGTGCTGCTATATTGTAATAACGTGTTTTTTGTCGTACTTGAGTTCTTTCATGGCGATCTGCAGTGGATCCGTCTCTCCTTCCAGTTCCACCATCACCGGTGCACACATCCTGTCACACAGGAAGTGATGTCGCTGATGAGTAATGCAGCATTATGAGCATTTAAATAAAACACAAATATAAAGCTGCTTCCAAACAAATGTTTCTTGTAAAAAGTGCTATACAAATAAAATTGACTAGCTTTTATTTATACTGATGTTTTTATGGTTAAAAAAAACTATTTAGAAATAAAACTATTTAAAAAAATGTTGTTAATTGAAATAAGACTGAAATAAAATGTAAATATTAGATGAAAAGCAAACTAAATGGAAATTAGAAATGCTGTCTTTGCAGCAACTTTGCATCTGAAATTAAATTAAGTACTACCATGACTTATACTAAAAAAAGGAAATGTTTAACAAAAACTAAAAAAGCACACAACAAAATGACTAAAACCAGAAATAAAACAAACTCAATATTAATAAATACGGTAATAATATATTAATACTAAAATAATACTGCTGTGTATGGTAGGGTTTGTGTACAGTGTGTGATGTAGATTTCACCCTCAGCATCGTAAGGTGACGACACGGAAAACAAACAGGAGACAGAACAACAAACAAACACACAAACTGCTGGAGACGCAACAGATGCTCGTGAGGCGACTCAGAGACTAATGAACTCTAGTTGAGGAGATCGCAAGACATTTTTAGCACTCATAATTTCAGAAGATTAATAGCGCAGATATTGGCCAAAGATGAATCTTTCACCTGCATTCACACACGCCACCAAATGGAGTTTACTCTAAAAGGCTATGCAACACATTCACTAGCGTTCACTTCAAAACTGAAGTATATGTTGGGTGTCAAGGGTCAGAGGTCACTCACGCGATCTGCAGCGCTCGTGTTCCCAGCACTCGCGCGCGCTCGTATTTGGTCATGTAAGGAGTGGTGATTCTCTTCTGATTGGCCTGTTGTCCTTCACCCGCCGGCAGGATCTGAATGTTCTCCTGATCCTCCTGCACACGCGCACGCGCACACACACACACACACACACACACACACACAGAGAGACAGACAGACAGACAGACAGACAGACAGACAGACAGACAGACAGACAGACAGACAGACAGACAGACAGACAGACAGACAGACAGACAGACAGACAGACAGACAGACAGACACACACACACACACAGAGACACACACACACAGACGCACACACACACAGATAAGACTGTGTCAGGAGAGTCCGACACTGATGCACTTCAACAATCAAACCGTAATTGAGATTATGAGCTGAAATACAACAGAAACTAGGCCTATATGACTTTCATTACAAATACATTCCAGATGTCACTAATGCCTGGCTCACACTACAGAATTTTTAGCCCGATTTAGCCCCGATTTCCCCCTCCCGAGAATCTGAGCAAAAATCTTGTCGATCGGTCCCAATGTTCGGCGCGGATTATCTGGTAATGTGAGGCGTTCACCGATCGAATCTTGCACCTCCCGATCGGCTCGCACACAAATCGGGGGCCGCCCCGATCATATCAAACGTTTGATATTTAGGATTTAAATCGGGATGATGACGGCTATATGATTACGTCCGTACTTTCACAATAGCCAATGCGCGACCGCAAAACATCTGCTGTACGGCTCCGTTGGATAGTGGACACGGAGGAAATTGCTTCTTGATGTTTTATAGTAACACGACTGTCTGTATAATGCGTCGAAAACGTATCACAACCGTAAGGAGAAAGAGAAGCACTGGAGTGAAATCGCCTCAGTTTTGAGTGTAGAAAGCAGCTAGCAGGCTAGCTAACATATGTAAACATCACTGAAACATCACTGAGGATCTGCTGCGTGAGATCACGTGAGGCTCCCTCTGGCATGATAATCTTAACATCTTGTAGTGTGCGATGCGCCACGATGTTCAAATCTTGTAGTGTGTGCATGTTTAAGATTTGAGGGACGATAACCTGCAGAGATTCTCCTTATGCGTGTGCTGCAACCAGATTTCATAATCGGCTAAGATTTAAAACTCCTGTAGTGTGAGCCCGGCTTAAGACACATTGAGAATCATTTATCAAACCTGTACTAGTAAAACAAACCTGTTGTGTTCTTATTCTATTATTTTTGCACTGCAATAATAAATGTTAGGGGTCTGACTTATTTGTCATTAATATAATGTCAAAAAAGGAACATTTTTAATGATTCTATAACATGCACTTAACCAACCCAAGTGGGACTGAGATTCTGAGTTGAAAAACTATAAAAACTACACTATTTTCATTAAAGATACATAAACTCACATGTAACACACAACAATGAGAATCATTCATAACGTGGTAACGCAAGGAAGCAAATCGCACTGGTCCCAAAACCGGCTTCATTTAAAGCAAACTACTCTCTGATCTGTATTAGTGAACGCTCGCTGGTCAGAACACAACACAAGCATCAGACACGACGATAAAACACGGCTCTTACATCCTCCGCGTTCTCCAGATCATCCAGAGGCTCCTCGTCTTCAGCATCGTCGAAGTCTCCGTCGTCAAAACTGAGCGACAACAAAAGACACACTAACGTTACAGGTGTATGAGGATCTCATCGTGTTGTTATCACACTCGCAAACATCTCAGAAACACTCTAACAGACGCGCTGGGAACTCACTTGTCTTCGTTGTCAGACATTATTAGTGTCTCGTGTGTCGTAAAAACGATTTAATTATCAAATTCGTAAATAATTCTCGTTTATTGAGGCGTCCCGTCGCGAGTCGAAGCGTGGAATGAACTTCCGGCGGTGCTGCAGTCTCCACAGTCCGTACAGAAACACGAGCGCAACAACACTGACCTCCCCCAAACAAATACACGTAAGTACGTAAATAAATCAATTCCTTTTAAAACCGAGGAATATTTTTGTTACACAATATTAAGGCATTTACATGCATATCAATAATTAACTAATGAATCTTACATGAAAGTGGTTTGCCGACGCTTGTATCATTGAAATGTAAGATATTACACACTTTAAAGACAACATTTGTATTTGTTTTGTAGAACTTATCATTGAATATACTTTTGCTGTGTTTTCTTTGCATTTGCAGTTTTAACCAGATAGCCTCAGTGAGTTACCAAAGCGATTGGCATCAATGAGAAATTATTTATTGAATGTTTGTTTTGTGTTGCTATAATAGACTTATGACTTTAAATGCTCGTTGTTTATGTCTTTAAGTACTCCAAGTGAATATTATCTTAGTTAAATGTTTAATAGCAATCTAATCTAGATTGATGATTTATACAATTCATGTCTATAGGTGTGTTCGACTTGAAGCGGCGCTGCGCAGATCGATCGGTGTTTGACATCAAAGTACCGCGAGAGCGATTCGAAAGCATAAGGAGCATCTGTGGTCTATTAACATCGCGGTACTTTGACGTCAACCACTGATCGATCTGCGCAGCGCCGCTTCAAGTCGAACACACCTGGGGCAAGTTCAAGCTCAAACCGGTGCGCAACGTTTTGCTACGGTTTCCAGGTTTAACGACATGTTTCCTGGAAACGGTGTGCGACAGGGTGATATACGTCTTCTCTTGTTTGGTGGGTGTGTCAGACATGTCAGCCAAATTAACAGCAGCATGTATATAAACCACCGGTATTAAAGAGACAGCTGGCACAATGTAATTAACATCCAAATAAATTCACAAGAGCAAGTATATTGTTTGCACATGTTTATTTACATTAAAAGCAAAATAACTGAAATAACAAGAGCACATGTATAGATCTGGAACTTCTTTAAGTCTGTCTAATATTACAATATCATAGCACAACAACAGTGATCAGCAATAATGATAAGCCTAATGCCTAATACTAAAATAATAAGGTCATATAGATCATAACACAGTCTTGGAGGTAAGAAGTGGATTATCCTTCATCCTTCAT